GGGGGAGACGAGCGCGCCGGGCCTCTGGTGCCGGGGGACACACCAGCAGAGGGACTGAGCTAGACCCAGCCGGCAGGGCCTCTGGTGCCGGGGGACACACCAGCACAGGGACTGAGCTAGACCCAGCCGGCAGGGCCTCTGGTGCCGGGGGACACACCAGCACAGGGACTGAGCTAGACCCAGCCGGCAGGGCCTCTGGTGCCGGGGGACACACCAGCACAGGGACTGAGCTAGACCCAGCCGGCAGGGCCTCTGGTGCCGGGGGACACACCAGCACAGGGACTGAGCTAGACCCAGCCGGCAGGGCCTCTGGTGCCGGGGGACACACCAGCACAGGGACTGAGCTAGACCCAGCCGGCAGGGCCTCTGGTGCCGGGGGACACACCAGCACAGGGACTGAGCTAGACCCAGCCGGCAGGGCCTCTGGTGCCGGGGGACACACCAGCACAGGGACTGAGCTAGACCCAGCCGGCAGGGCCTCTGGTGCCGGGGGACACACCAGCACAGGGACTGAGCTAGACCCAGCCGGCAGGGCCTCTGGTGCCGGGGGACACACCAGCACAGGGACTGAGCTAGACCCAGCCGGCAGGGCCTCTGGTGCCGGGGGACACACCAGCACAGGGACTGAGCTAGACCCAGCCGGCAGGGCCTCTGGTGCCGGGGGACACACCAGCACAGGGACTGAGCTAGACCCAGCCGGCAGGGCCTCTGGTGCCGGGGGACACACCAGCACAGGGACTGAGCTAGACCCAGCCGGCAGGGCCTCTGGTGCCGGGGGACACACCAGCACAGGGACTGAGCTAGACCCAGCCGGCAGGGCCTCTGGTGCCGGGGGACACACCAGCACAGGGACTGAGCTAGACCCAGCCGGCAGGGACCCTGGTGCCTGTGGACACCACCAGCACGGGTGGGGCCCTGATGCCTGGGAGGCTGCCGGCATGGACAGGGTTAGACAGTCGGCAGGGGCCCAAGCAGGTGCCAAAATGGGCTGGGCTGGAACGTTGGGCTGCTCACCAGTTGGGCTGCACGTTGTGGGGGCGGCCGAAGAGCTCAATCTTGCGGGTGCCAGGGGAGAGGCGCTCGATCATACCATAGATCTCGTCCGGCTTGTGGCTGGTGGAGCGGACCTGCAGGAGGAAGTGGATGGAGGGGGCTGTGGGGAGGAGGGAGTGGATGTTGGAGGGGGCCGCGGGGAGCAGGGCAGGGGGGAGCGGAGGTGGGAGGGGGCCGCGGGGAGCAGGGCAGGAGGGAGCGGACGTTGGAGGGGGCCGCGGGGAGCAGGGCAGGAGGGGGCGGAGGCTGGAGGGGGCCGCGGGGAGCAGGGCAGGAGGCGGGGGAGCGGGGCGGGAGCGCCAGTCGCTCCTAGCGGGGCTGGACTTACCTCAGCCACGATGACATCGCAGTCCAGGCCCCGGTTGAAGCCCTGGGGGTTCCCCTTGACCCCCACCTGCAGAGGGGAAAGGGGCTGAGTGGAGCCCAGAGAGCACTCCCAGAGCATCTGGCCCAGCCCCCGGTGCCCCCCATACCAGGCAGTGCTCCTTGCCATGGTTCAGCCAGTGCCCTGTCCGCCCCGTGCGGATGATTCGCTGCAGCTGGTTGGTTTTCACCCAGATGATCTCGTCCACCCGCTCGTACCTGGGATAAAAAGCAGGGGGGGG